ATTTTTGGGTTATTGTTTTGTCGACCAGGTTTACAAATTTGCAATTCTGCACGTTTTCTAACGTATTCATATTAGCTGCAGAGGTCCCAGATCCTTCCTTTGTTTTAAGAAGGGTATCCTCCACTTCGGGTGGTAAAGGAATATCATATTCAGTTACCAGATTATCGAATTCTAATTCTAGGTTTTCATCTTCAATTTCTTCTTTAGGAGGTTTCTGGGTTAATTCTAGGATTTGAACCCTTGTTCTTAGAGTTATTAACTCGTTTCTTACCTCATTTATCTCATGTTTTAATTCAGAGATTGAGGGTTCTCTTTCAACCTGGGTTTTGTTTTGCACTCTTTTAAGGATATCATGAAAACTATAATCTTCTTTTGTCGGAACAAGAGAAGATTTTGCTTTTTCAGATGGAATTTTGGACATGTTGATATATGGAACTAAGGCTTCTTTTGTAAGAGTGTTAATACTTAACCCATTCATATCAAGGACTGCCTTGTAAAAATTACATTGGCAATTTTCTTCGTTTGGATTATTTTCATCATCAGTGTCTGAATCAGAACTACTAATGATGATATCTTCTCATCATTGATTTCTCCAATTAACATTTCATTTTTTGAATCAGAAGAATCAGAAGTTTCTTCTTTTATTTGGAGTATCTCAAATAATTGGTTTTTAAGACTATTATCTATTTCTAGAGAGTTAATTTTCTTTTTAACTCTACATTTATTTTTGTAATGGCCTACTTTGCCACAATTATAACAAACAGGAATTTTTCTTTTTCCCCTACTTTTAAAGGATGGTTTGTCTTGTAAAAATTTATTGGAAAATTTTTCTCTTTTCTTTGAAGATTGTTTAAATTTTTTCTTTTTGAAATTTTCATGCTTTTCTTTACGAAAGGGTTTTGAAGGGGGCAGGGTATTGTAACCAAACTGCTCACAACAATCTCCTAGCTCTTTTCTCCCTGTTATTCTCTGTTTTTCCCATTGTCTTCGAAGCTTTAAGTTTGTACATAATGCTAGACCTTCAGCTCAGATTTCGGCTGATAGTTCTCCTAGGGTATACAGAGAATAAGGAATAATTCCACCATGCTTATTTTTAAGCCTTGTTTTTACCTTTTCTGCAAAAAAGTGTGGTAGTCCAGCTACAAACTTTTCTTTCCAATGGTCTGATTTACTATCCTCTCTTGATAGTAATCTTGAGAAAAATACATCTTTATACCATTTATAATGAGTGAGTGTAGGACATCTTAGATTTGATAACAAATCTTTAGATCTTGCTGCCAACAAAGCAGTGCTTCCTATGAAATGGAGGATGATTGTATATATTAGTGTATTGACTGCATCTCCTTCTTGGATTATATTGTCTTGGCCAATTTCATTCTTGACTAGCCATTGTTTTGAGGCCATTCAATATTTGATTTTTTGATTCTTCATCCATATGAAAATCCCACCAACCTCTTAACCATTCTATAAATCCACATATTATGGCCTTGGCTATCTCGTGGTCTTGATTTCCACTCACCTTGCAGGCAGTGGCATACATAGTCATGTGTTTCATAAGATCTAAGATTTGATTTTCAGCCATGTCGTTATATTTCAGTTTACTATGGATTTCCCTGAATAGAAGACCGAGGTAGAGATTAGGTCTTCTTCTATTTGAAGATCTACTGGGGTTGGTCTAGGATAATACATTCTGGTTTGAGATACTGGTCTAATTTTTCTCCCATAATCAATTCTATTAACTTTTAAGCTTTCTGTTTTGAAAGCTTTTTCTGTATCAGAAATTTCTTGGTCAGGTTCCTTTTGTAGGACTTAAATGTCTCCTTCATTGGCTTAGAAGACTGACCTTTCTCCCTTTCATCGATTTTCAATTTGTCTAATCTCTTAACCAATTCATCTACTAATACCCTATTGTCTTCTCTTTTCTTTATTCCTTATAAGCTAATCTTTCATGTCTCAATAGTTGGAGGAGGTTTAATCAGAGCAGTTTCTTTTTGGTTACCAATTTTTTTATCTTCTGCAATTGGTTTTAAATTATTAACTGCATTTTCTATTCTTGTAGCTTGCTTTCCTATTGTTTGGAGGAAAACATTTGTATAATTATTTCGTTCAATAATATGTGGTATTCCTTCAAACTTGGCCATATTATGGTCAGCTTCTTTAGGTCCTATTTTAAAGGGTGAGGCTTTAACTTCAATTTTCTCCTCGAACTTTTCTTCCTTTAGTTGTAAGCTAGTCTCAAGGGGATGAATAGACTCAATTGTCTCTCCTTTCGTGGTTTGAAAAGTCTGTAAAGCTTTTTCAACTGTATTTATTTCAAATTTTGGAATTTTTATTCCATAGTCTTTAGCTATGTATTTTAACCATTTAAAGAATTTGACATTTGCCTTATGTTTTATCATGAACCTGTTAAATTTTAAATGGAAGGCATCCCGAAGAGGTTCTTTAAACTCTTTGAAGAACCATTCTCTTATTTGTCTATTTTCTTCAGAGAGGAAATCCTTTTTGGTCTATTCTTTATCAATTTTGAATTCTTCTTCCTTCTGTACCACACATATTTCAAAATCAAGATCATAAGGTGTCGGTTCTCTTAATTCAGAAGATTCCGGAGTGTCTACTCTGTTGACTGGTTGTTGCACTTGGTTTGGAGTTCTATTGAGTCTTTCAATAATAGTTCTCCTAAGAGTGGATATTCTTTCATATTCAGATTGTGGAACTGAAGAGGTTGAACTTCTAGGAGGATCTCTAGTATTTGAATTATCAATCTTTAGTGTAGTCCTTCTTGAAGTGGATTTCTATTTCTCCGTCAGTGAGTCGTGGGAGGCAAGGCACACAGGGGAGTAGG